CATCCATCCATCCATCCATCCATCCATCCATCCATCCATCCATCCATCCATCCATCCATCAGCTCCTTCCTTCTTTCCTCTCGGGATCCTGTACTTGTCTGGCTTCCCATTCAGAATTGTAACGAACAGGAACAACAGCTGATGAATTGATTTGATTTAAAATCCGCTAATTCTTTTTGAGAAGGTGAGCCAAACCGATGACGTCCACCAGCAGGGCGTTTTCTTTTCTTTACAGGTCCCAAGGGTCCCCCCTCAGCAGCCTCGAAAGGACAAGGCCGAGCGGCTGGAAGAAATCCTCCTGAAGATGAGACAGCCCACCAACATTGTCCATATACCTTTAGGTATGCACTCAGCTCGGGCCTCCGGTGACGGCTTCCGATCAGGGCAGTGGGGCACCCCACCAATATTTAGAAACGGTCTTCTATGCTGTGCTGGGTTTTTCTGGAAAGAGAACAGACCTTTCAGTGTTATTGTTGGAAGCTTGGGGGGTCTGAGCCCTTTCTGATGGAGTCTCACCCCCTTGGCGAATCTCCCTTGGAAAGCAAGCACTGTTTCACTACATCTCTTTCCGAAACAAGAAGGAAACCCTTCAGACTCAACGAAGACTCTGCTTCTGTGCCGGGTTTTTGTTTGTTAGGGGAGCAGCGCTAACACTGAAATCGCTTCGGGAAGTTTTTCTGGCTCGACGGCCACAATGGAAGAAAGCAAAAGGGCAGTGGGGGGAACCAGTCACAGCTAACAGTTTTAAGAAACACAAAGAGCTTGGGGTGTGTCTGTTTGAGTGTGGTTTGCTGTTCTTTATCAGTTAGTACCCCTTTAAGCCTTACATTGTCGGGACAGCAAAAAAATATTGCCAATATTCCCTGTACAATTGGTTATAGCATATAGGGGGGCAAATGCTGTTCCTGGACAAGCCCACAGTTAAAATGCCAGCGTGATCCTGTGCAGTCAGCACTTCTTGGAACCAGTGGAGTCTTGGTGTGTAAGAGGGGAGTGGTGGGGAGTGTGTGCAGCCATGGTCCAGCTAACTCCGCTGCTCCTCGTCCAGGATGGGAGAAGCTGAATTTGTTGCACATGTCCAGCACAGAATCATAAAATAGCCTCCTGGCGCAGTGGTTAAACTGAAGTACTGCAATCAAACCTCTGTTCACAACCTGAGTTCGATCCCATTGGGCTCAGGTAGCCAGCTGAAAGTTTGCTCAGCCTTCCATCCTTCAAACCTGATTTCGATCCCAACGGGCTCAGGTAGCCAGCTGAAGGTCAGCTCAGCCTTCCAAAGTTGGTAAAATGAGTACCGACAGCCAGCTGGTCAGCTCAGCCTTCCATCCTTCCAAAGTTGGTAAAATGAGTACCGACCAGCTGGATTAGCAACTAGCTATCTGGAAGGGGTGGGGGATGTGTAGCCTTCATACTTAAATTGTAAACCGCCCAGAGAGTGCTTTCAGCGCTATGGGGGCGGTTGTATAAGCCACCTGATCCACTTTTTGCTTTGCTGTAGTACTAACTTATTGTATATAATTATGTGATTTGGTTCTTCCGGATGCTGAATTTGCAGTGCAAGTGAGGTGCGCACAGAAAGGTTCTCCGACATTGCTATTTTGGAAGGAATATGATAAAATGGCTTGTTCCGTTCTTTGCAGTGTGCGTCTTGCGGAAGAAGAAGGAAAACTGGCGCCAGTATCGGGAGGCCTTGGCTCTCCTGAAGGAATTCCGAGAGGAGTATAAAGTCACCGTGGCCTCCTGCAGGGAGGACAGCGAGTCCAAAACAAGTAAGAAGCTTGTCGGCGCTGATCAGGGGACTCCAAGTCAGATGCTTGGACCTCTTCCTGAAATCACGGTGAGCGAGCCCGAAGTGGAGGAACCGCCAGCAGAAGTGGGGCCGCTCGCCGAAGACTTGGAAGCCGAAGACCTGGAAGAGTCACCCAGTCCGGAAGACTAAGAACGATCGCTGCATAAAGAACTGGGGCACAGTTACTTCCAGCGAGACCTGGCATGTTGACCCATCTGGAGTCCCGGATTCAGAAACGGCAAGAGAAAAAAATGGATGAAAACGAGCAAGGATACCCTGAAAGGGAGTTTTGGAACCATTTCTCCACCTTGATCTTGCAGCCTTGCATCCCTACAGAAGGCGGAAACTGTGGAATAAAAAGCTCCTGTATGGCCAGGTCTGTGGTTTGATGAAATGGTTGCAGCCTAAGGCACCCCTTCCAGACAAGCCACTGATGGAGACGGGGCTGAATGATGGCCGTGGTTGACCAGGGGAGGCTTCGACAGACGTGAGGGGTTCAGCCACATAGGCCACCACATTTCCTGTGCCTTAGTATAGGACAGTGAGGACCACCATCACACCCTTACCTGGTGGATTCATAAAGATCATCCTGCTTCTTTTTTGGTTGCCTTAAACCACGCAAGTCAAGGATTGGCCCAGAACAAGTCTGTCCTGTAAACATGTCTTTTACTAGGCAGTTGTATTCCCTTTCTCGCTTGCTTTTGAGGCATTTAAAGGCCCTTTTCTGTCAGGGTGTGGCTTTAGAGAAGCAATGAAATTAAATGTTTAATCTTTAAGAAGTCTGTGCATTTCACGGACTGGTGTATGTACCAGATTTCCCTCCCAATGTACTTTTTTAAACTAAAGACAACAAACAAATCAAGGTGTTTTTTTCACATCACGGTTAATTGGCCTGCTTAAGGCTCGGCTACATTACCATTTCAGGGTTTTTACAGGGATTATCATGATCAGTGTTGAGTTCTTTCCTATCAATTTCACACTGGCCAAAATCCTGTTGCTTAGTTTTGTAAATCGTACTAGAGTGGTTCTACTGAATCAGTGGGACTTGGTGATTCAGCTTCTCCGTATGTGCCCATAATTCAAATGGGCCTACTCTGTGGCTTACTTTAGCATAATCAGTTGTAGGAAGAGTTGCTTCCATTTGAAGCAACAGAACCTATGGAGGAGCTGACTTACGAAATCATTGACTCAGCGGGCTTTCCCTAGTGCGACTTATTATGCTAAAAGACAGGATGGTCATTAATTTTATTTTGCTTGCTTGGCTGATTAGCAGCACATTGTTTGGGTTTTTGACGTGTGATTATTAGATTGGTGTGTCCTAGAATATACTGACAGCTTCAGTGTTTGTGTTGTGCAAATAAGCAGGATCATGCCTTTCCCCTACAATAAGCACCTCTCTTCATTTTGTGGAAGATTTTTCCCCCCATAGTCCCATCAGATACAGTGCTGGTTCAGATCAGCGCTGCGTCAAGTACAATTTTATAAGAGGAAGTTGTTGAGGATGAAGAGAAGGGGTGAGGAAGAGGGTAGTAACTTCTGACTTCTGATCTCTCCTTCCAACCCTTAAAGAAAGAGAAGGTGGTCATATTCCTCGGTGGGTACCTTCCCCACTCCCTATCACTCTCAATCTGCTGGAGGAAAGCCGTAACCTAGCATCTGAATTACACCTCTGGGTGGTGGGCAAAACTTAAGAGCCTTTGCATCTACAGCTGAGATGCTGCTTGTGTGTAATACCAGCTGAACACTTGTCCTGTTAGCCGATTCCCAAGTCTGCTGAACAGCAACGCTAAGCACGGACCACCCAGCCCTCTCTCTGCCCACCCTTCTCTTTCATTCTCACTCTCTCCCGGGTTCAGGGTGTCCGGGTGAGAAGCACTGTTTGAATTACACCTCTGGGTGGTGGCCAAAACTTAAGAGTCTTTGCATCCAGAGCTGAGACCCTGCTTGTGTGTAGTAACAGCTGAACACTTGTCCTGTTGGTCCACTCCCGAGTTTGCGTAACAGCAATGCTAAGCACAGACCACATTTCATTCTCACTCTCTCCCAGGTTCAGGGTGTCCGGGTGAGAAGCACTGTCTCTTGTGTGCATCTCTTTGTTTCTGGGAAGAGGGAGAGCCAGAAAGCGCCAGTGCTAAACAAGCATGCATTTGCTGAGTCAGTTCCTCAAGGTTTGACCAGTTTCCCAAGATTAACCTGCTCTCCGAAGAGGAAGTAAAAAACAGGAGTACCCTTGCCTACACCACACCATAGACTGCCTCGAAACCTTTAAAAATGCTTACAAAATATACAACAGAATCATTTTCTAAAAGGGGTATTAAAATATAGCACTGATTCAGTTCGGGACCACATCATCTGTCAAATTCTTGGAAGGTGGTGAAAGTAAAGGGTGGGGAACAGGCTGGTGCTCGCAGGGTGAGAGAGGCCCAGATGAAAACGGTACTGATCGGAGGGCGATGGATTCTTGCAGTGGGGCTAACTGAGCAACAACAGCAGCAAATTTAAGAGTGGAAATTGGTATTGGAAAAACTTCCCATCAACCCAAATCGATGCAGGATAACTTCCCTGTGTAGCAGCTCCTGAGCTGAATCCTCCAGGGTTTTATTAAAGCATGAAGGAGCTGGGGGTTCCCTTATTCAAAGCGGCTCAAGGTCATTTCAAGCTTTTCCCTCCATCACCTGCCTAGAAAAAACAGCTTTCCATCTGTGAGCAGTGAATGCTATCGCTTGGGCACTGTGGGAGCCCCCCTGGGCTCAGAAGAATCTGGGGATACTTCAGAAAGAGGATGGGTGGAAAATGCAAAAATAAACAAGGTTGCAGGTGCTGAATGAAGAGAATGAAGAACTGTCCTCTAGGAAAATTCTCAAGACACAAGGGGGGGGGGGAAGCCCACAGGAAAACGTTTGTGCTGGTTCTGTTTGAAACGTCTGAACCCCAATGGGTCTACAGCTGATTGCAATAGAAAAACTCAACTTGTTTTAGCTTCAGGCAATAGTTTTACATTCCTCAAGCAAGGACAATAATAACTTCCCTCCTTTTTGACAAGATAGTTCATTGGAAATGCTTTTTCTTGTGTAAACTTTGCAATTTGCTGGGGGGACGGGACAAAATCTACTCCCCCCCCCAGCATTCTTACCTCTAGTCATAAAAGGGGGGGGGGAATACTAGTTCTGAAAACTTCTCCCTTCGTGTCATTTTGTTATTGTGTAAGCTGTATTTTGTGGGACGTGATGGCGCTGCAGGTTAAACCGCAGAAGCCTCTGTGCTGCAAGGTCAAAAGACCAGCAGTCATAAGATCGAATCCATGTGATGGAGGGAGTTCCTGTTGCTTTGTCTCAGCCCCTGCCAACCTAGCCGTTCGAAAGCATGTAAATGCAAGTCGACAAAAATAGGTACCACTTCGGTGGGAAGGTCATGGCATTCCATGTCTAGCCGCACAGGCCATGTGACTACAGAAACTGTCTTCGGACAAACGCTGGCTCTACGGTTTGGAGACAGGGATGAGCACCGTGCCCTAGAGTTGGACATGACTGGATTCAATGTCAAAGGGAACCTTTACCTTTACCTAAGCTGTATTTAGTGTAGGTCCGAGCATGTCCATCATTCTGACGTAAAGGAACCATTCTTTTTAAAAAAACATTTCTTCCACACAATTAAAACCCAGCCAGAGACAACTGGATACTGTTTAACCCACAAAGAGAAGAGAGACAGACACGTGGAGGAATAAGGGTCTCAATAAACGGATCTGTTTTATCAAAATATCAATGAAGCCACAGTGATTCAGTTGCAACCTTGAAAATGATGTTTTGTCTTGGACTGGCTTTCAAGTACTAAGCCGAGAATACACGTCAAAGCACAAAATGATTTAAAGCCTACCTGGGAGGGGGGGGCTGGGAGTTGGAAGAGGTGAGAGGAGAACACAGTAAGGTACATTTTTCCTTGTAACAGACAGTAAAACACCAGAAAAACCAGGCATACAAGAAAAGTCCACCAGTTACAACCAAAAGGTGGTCCGTTTTGTTGTTCTTGGTTCCTTTGTTTGCATAGTGAATAGCTAATTCTACACCTGCTAGCAGTGTTTTTAAAATAGCTGGAGAAAGAGCCGTGTTTCCCGTTGGACGCCTAGAATACAACATTCAAAAAGGTGAGTGCGCCGGTTCAGTTGATCCTAGTGCAGTTCTGACCCCCTTCGGGAGGTTCAGCAGAAGAGACTTGACAGACCAGCCTTGTGTTTCGACAAGACATTCACACCCACATTCAAACCCCGGGCGAGGAAAGCTGCCCCCAGCGCCCTAAGAATGGAAACCACGCTTTGACCGCATTTTCCCGAAGAGCGCATCGTCCACTTGGCCCAATGGAAAAGGAACCAAGCTGCCCGGAGTCCCAACAGGAAAGGGTGCGGACGGTGGATGCAGCAACGCTCCCGGGCCAATTCTGTTTTTTTATATAAATGCATCGTAGAGTCTTTTAAGGCTTTCCTCTCCTTCTGTTTTCACCGAGAGCACGACTCAAAAGTGCTTACTTGAACGGTCCCCTCCATGACATGACGTGCAAAGTCTCAGACGAGAAAGAACACTGCTGGGCACGGAATAAAAATGCAATACAATCATATAACCAGAATCCAACTTTTTGGCACTTTTCCCTTCGTTTCTCATGTCCAACATCAACGGATCTACAACGAACATGGAGAATGTGACGTTTCCGTAAAACGATCTCCCAGGTCTTGAGTGGGTTTACGAAGTTGGACTGTCCTCTTTGGTGGCTGCAGGCATTCATTCACTGACTGTCAAAATCCCCACTCGCCCTTCATTCACTGTCCAAGTACCCTCTTTCGTAGCCCCACCATAAGGCAGCAGGGCTGTGCCGTAAAGTGGGGCAGCCCGTTAGCCATAGCCAACTGGGCTACAAACAGAACTGTATTTGGAAAAGAAAATCAAGTTTTACAGAGACAAAAGCTGAGATGCAGAAAGATAGCATTTAGTTCTATGGGTGGCGAGACTCCTCCTGACCTCAGTGAGTTAAGAACCAGCTTCTGCTCTCTTCAAAAAGTAGAGAAAGCACAGGTGAGTTTCAGAGGCTCCCGCCCTATTTAAGCAGCCCCTGGGAAAAGGTTCAGCTGAGAACAGACCTGGCAAAGGCCTTTTTTTGGCTACTAGGTGGCAGTCAAGTTTTGCAACTTTTAAGCCAAACCACTTGGATCCTTCGAAAACCCATAACCTGCAATGAACAACTTTATCGTTTTAAAAAAGAATTTAGTTTCATCCTCCTACAGAGAGACTAAAAGGAGTCCCCGGAATACATTCAGCTGCTAGCCCGCTCAGGAGAGGATCACACAACAGTTCTTATGCCTGACAGTCTCTATGTGTTTGGCATCAGGACTAGTCAGCAGCCACCAAAACCAGATAGACTTTTAAAAACATGCAACGCTGAGCTGTCCTTGTGAAAGACCTGTTGAGAGAAAGCAAGAGGCTTGGTGCCCCCCATGGGGGTCTCCTGGATCCTCTTTTTTTGGGAGCTTACACGCCTGCAGGAGAGCCTGCTTGCTTCCCACAGGCGCAAGGCGAGAGGGACCCCAAAGGCTTCCCTTGACTCAACACCAGCTTTCTCACGGTGACAATGTCGACTTTGGTCCCTGGGCTGTGCCCAAACCAGCGCTCCTTTGTTTGCTGACTTATGGCACCCTCGAGCCATCTGTATTTTCAACCAACACAGGCTCCTCTTCCATCCGCAGGCGATCACAGGAAGCCTAGCCTCCTTCCTCAAACAGCCGGGTCCCTGGCCTCCCCCCTAAGTGAGCGGGCAAACCTCCCCTGGATCTGGCTTCACAAGACGTTTGCGATGGGGCGGCCCGAGCCTGGCTTTCCCGTGGAAATTGAGGAGACCGACAGGTGGCTGCTCCTCAGGCCCTGGGAACAACTAGCGCCGGTCTCTGGATCCAGGCCATTCATGCAGGGTGGCCGGCCACTCCTTTCTCGGGGGCAACGGTTTAAAGGGCAGCCACAGATGCCAGCTCTTTTCATAAGATATCCTGGGGGGAAAAACAGTTTATGGCCATGGGAATAGAGTTTTGTTTCCAAAATTCTGCGAAGCTTCAGATCTGCTCTTAAGATGCTCTTCCACATCCCCTTGTATGGCATCAACCTTCTGCAAAGCTTCAGATCTGCTCTCAAGATGTACTTCCACATCCCCTTGTATGGCATCAACCTGGCTTGACATGAATGAAAACGTCTTCTCTCTTTCCCCATCTAGTATTTCATTTTAGCAGCACCCACCGACCGTGCCCTGAGGCTGACCCAATGAACTGACGTGCTTCACCAGGATCCCTATAAACCGGGGTGGGCAACCTGAAGCCCTCCAGCAGTTGCTGGCCTGCAACTCCTAATCCCTCCCCCACTGGCTAGGTTGGGTAGAGCTGATGGGAACTGGAGTCCCAGAACTTCTGGAGAGAGACACGTTGCCGGGCGGTGTTTCAAACACGGCAATTCGAGGCCAGGTGAAGGCTTTCTGTTTGAATTCTGCACCAGGAAATGAGCTCTGCTGACCACCTCCTGAGAAACCTCCTTTCCAGGTAAAAGCGGTGCAAACAGAGGAAAGCTTGTGTTGTTGTTTTTTTTCTGTCCGGCATCCGATCCGAGCCTGTTGGAGCCGACCCTACCTTGAGGGCAGAAGATTAAAAGCTCCAACTTTCAAGCAAACAGCTGAGGGGAAGAAGCTGCTAGGATCCTGCCTCCGGGCAGAACAAGAATGAAAGAATCAGGCTAAGCTTTTTCTTGGTGGCAGGCAAGAGGATTAAAATACAAGACACGAGTGGGAGGCCTTGAGAAGGGCAGCCTTGGAGGTCTCAGGCCAAAACCCACCAGTTTCAAAAGAAAGCTGGTTCTACACGTGACACACACCTCCCCCGCCGAAGTGCAGCTGAATTTTAGAGATTCTCTGCCTGCAAGCAGAGATTCTGTGGCCCTAAATCCACCACGGTTGTCTCCCTTTAGCGCTGGGTTTAGACTAAATACTTCAATTTCTTTCCAATGTCTTCCACCACCTCCCAGAACGTTAATGGTAACATAGACAGAGGCCTCCAGAATAGGGAACTAGCATGCCACTTTCAGTTCATCAGGACTTTTAAGAACCCCCCGAAGGCGTTGCTCCCACACTGCCACTCCCCAGTGTATTTAGGGAGCCATATGCAAGGAGTTACCCGGTGACTAATCTTCTATTCAAACCTTCTATTCCGGATTCAAAAGTGACTTAAGAATCAGGCATTGTATGGAATCTGTATTTTGGGGGGCGGCGGGGGGGAGAGGCAGTGGAAATCAGCACTGCAGTGTTGCAAACCAATGCTGCTCCCTGGCCATCACATCCACATACCCATAACACTGGGATTTGCTCTCACTGCTGTGTGTCCCCCCCACCCCCACCCCGCCAGGACCATCTGGCTCCCTGAACATGGCCCAGGATTGGACCAAGCGAAGGAAGAACCTTCTGGCCGGAGATAATCAGGTGCCGTCTCTCCTGCTGCACCAGCAAAGGTTGCCCTGTGCTTCTACCTAGCAGGCTGTCTACCTAGTGACCTTTTCCAGAATCTCCACGTGCCATCTATCCATTTAAAACACAATCCTCTAACCGACACCTCCGTGGGACCAACAGGTGGGGCCCTGGCATAAGAAAGGCCGCTGGACTGCCGTGCCTACAGCCATATACTACGTTCTCTCGGGCAAATGCATCTCTCGTTTGGGCTCAGTATTTTCAAAGGCTCAGTAATTAATATACTGTGCATTTTGAATACCTATCGGGACTCACCCAAAGTTGCAAAAATGGCAGCTACAAAGGGACCCATCCTGCAACCGCCATTCTCCTGATGCCCTCCTGATCAGAGCAAACGACCGATCCTGTCCTGCCAGTGAAATTCATAACCTCAGAAGCAGATCTGACCAGAAGGATCAAGTGTGGCGGCTGCCGTGTGTGCAAAGACCCCCGCCTGGCTCCAACCAGAACCAGACTTACAATCCTCTGACCACCTAAGAGAAAGGCAGGCAGGGCAGGTGAGAACGGAGGGTCACGTGCCAGCTTGGCTTCCCTCTCGGATGCCTTCGGACCGCTTCACATTCGCTAGACAAGGCAAACCTGGTTCCCCCTAAGCGCTACTGGTACTTAGAGTGCTCTTTGACCGCAAGAAATAGTGATCCCCCCGCGCCTTCCGCCTCATCACGGTCCTGTTCTCGCTGTCAAATTTCCGCTGGAGCTCCAAGGCCAGCCTCCGGTCCTCCTCCTCCTGCTGCAGCTTCCGTTCCGCCTCGCTCTTCCTCCTCGGGGGTTCGGCCGCCTGCCTCAGCCGCTTGACCGAGCCGACCTGCTCCAGGTGCTTCCTTTTGCACTGTCTCTTTCGCCCCCACCGCAGAGAGGAGGAGGAGGAGTCCTCGCCCGTGGCCTTCTCAAGACAGATGCCATTTGGGAAGCGGTCCCTCGGGCGTTTCAGCGGCTTCCTTCCCGTGGCCTTGACAGAGGGGCCCAGGATACTCCTGTCTGGAAATCCGGTGCCGGCTCTCGCGGCTTTCGGGATCACCAGGTTGGCATCAAGGCTGAGACAAGAGCCAGCCCCGTGGAGAACTGATTTTGCATCAGAGATCTGCGAGGTTCTGGCGTTCAAGGCGTCCTTGTTCAGTTTCACCAAAGGGGCCGGAGGGCCAGCGACCGTCACTGCTGAGCCTCTCCGGGCCTTGCAAGAGTTTTCGAGTTTTGCTACACAGATGGAAGGGAAACACTCTAACTCAGCCTGGGTGTGCGCACGGGGATCTATGGGTGGCACGCTCTGGGAAACTGGCAGAGACTCTTTGATGAGCAAATTTGCACTCGGGGCCAGGAAATCCTCTCCTGCCTCTGAGGCCATGGAGGTCAGAGTGGCTTTAGAGAGAGTCTTTTTCATCTGGCGATCCTGGAAGATCTGCTCCCATTTTTTCAGAATCCGAGGGCTTGCTTCGTAGGTGGTCGGCTTCTGCAGACTCCTGGTCAGATTCCGCGGAGTAGACTTGATAATTAAAGGGCTCAAAACCCGGCCGTCGGGAAGCCGCTTGGGAGGTGTGCACGGGGAGCACACAATGGGTTTGAAGTGGTTGAGCTCTTCCGAGATACTGTCGTTGCTCTCGGGGCTAACGGACCGCTCAGGCTTTGGGAGGAGAGAAAAGGAAGCAGCGCCGGGGAGAACAAAGCGCTTGTCCGCCGTCAGGTCTGGGGCCGAAAGGCAGCGATTGTTCTGCGTGGATGACAGAACTCCGAGAAGAGGGGCTGATCCACCGGTTAGTGGGTGGACCTGCAAGACAAGCGATTTACAGACGCTTTAGAAGAGGTAGCCGTGTGGCTCTGTGGCGGCATCTCAGGCCAAAACAAAAGAAAGAAAAGAAGACAAAAACGTTGTGGCCTCTCCTTTTAGGTGAGCTTTCATAGAAAAATGCACATAACTGACATGGAATCATGGAGTTGGAGGGGACCTCTGAGGCCATGAAGTCCAACCCCCAGCTCAGTGCAGGAATCTAACTCAAAGCAGATCTGGCAGAGGGTTGCCTAAATTTCTCTTGAAGGCCTCCAGTGTTGGAGCGCTCAGCACCTCCCCCTGAGGTCATGGGTTACACAGTGGAGACGGGCTCACCAACGCCTGAGGTCATGGCTTCCGTTTTCATACAGCTCTAACAGTTAAGAAGTTTTTCCTGATCTTCATCCTAAATCTGGCTTCCTGTCACTTGAGTCCATGATTACATGTCCTGTACTCTGGGATGATCGAGAACAGATCCTGCCCCCCCCCTCGAAATACTTTCAACTATTTGAAAAGGGCTCTCCGATCCCTCTCCTGCCCCCCCCCCCGGTCTTCTTTTCTCAAGGCTAAACAGGCCCAGTTCTTTCTGTCTTTCTTGGTCGGAGGAAGTGGACATTCACATCAAAATAAAGTAGTTCATCTTTAAAGTGCTCCAACTTTTTTGTCTTCTTTATTTATTTATTTATATTTTTCCCCTTTGTTCTGGCCTGAGATACATTCAGCAAGACTGTTCTCATGCCAGACAAGGAAGGGGAGGTTCAATATAAAGAAGATAATTACGACCATTCGGTTACGTGTCAATTAACACAGTCCTTTCGGCACAATTAAGTGGTAGAGGTGTGTGTTAAGGGGCACATGCGTGAAACTGGACCAACAGCAAAGACCTGCAAGTACAGAGGGCCACATAACTGGGAAAGAGTAAAACAATCAAATTAATTCCTTTCCCTAGAACACTGGTTCTTAATCTTGGGTTACTCAGGAGTTTTGGACTGCAACTCCCAGAAGCCTTCACCACCAGCTGTCCTGACTGGGGTTTCTAGGAGTTGCAGTTCAAAAGCATCCGAGTAACAAAGGTTAAGAACCACTGCCCTAGAACATTGCACTGTACACAAACCCACGCATTCAAGAACTCTTTTTGATAGTTGCAGGCATCTGGAGGAGCTTTTAAAATCAGAAGCACCAACGTAATCAGAACAAAGCCGATTCGGCAAGACAAGACCCACTGCTGCTGCTTAGCGTGACCAGTTCAGGGCAACAGGACGTTATTCCAACAACGGTGCCCAACGGAAGACCTGCAAAAGCCGTCTGGTTTCCTCGGGTACCCCCAGTTTCCTGAAAAAAAAATATCAAGGGGAAGGAAGGAAAGTTTTCTACTTAATCGGTAAAAAGGATTGTCTGGTACCTTTGCTCTGACTGACGCTGCTCTCTGCCGGCTCTTCGATCTCTCCCCGAGGGTATCATTGCAACTCTGGCTCCTTTCTACTTTAGCCGTTAGGTTTCTAAAACATTAGAAGAAGATAAGAGGTTTAACGAAGGGAGGGGGAGGAAACAGTTGACTTAGAGGTGGTTTCGGCATTTGGCTCCACGTATGCCAAGAGTCACAAACAATTGCCTGCTATCTGCCCCTCCAGTTCGCAACATGACAGCACAGTCTCAGAGCCACACCACGAGGGATGGTGCATCGTTTGCCGTTTTGTCCAAACACAGATCCGAGCCTTCCTCCATGCAACCCACAGCCGTCGTTGCTTGCAGCCATCATCTCCCCACTCCCATTAAACTGTCCCCCCCCTGCCCCCGGCTGCGAGGTCCCAGTCACAACCGAGGACTCACCCTGCCAGCAATGCCACAGAGTAGGAGTTTCCTTTGGAGACAAACGCTGACCGGTGGGCAGATTTGCCGTGGAACGGTTCCTCGTTCTCAGAATCAGAGAGGCGTTCTGGAAACTGAAGGTCATCAAGAAAGATGAAGTGGCATTTCGTAAACAGCCTCTGACTGCCGAAACACAGACGCTTCTGACGATGTTTTGAGCCTCCAGAAATGTGGCTCCTGGGGACATTTTGGTGGCCACAACGGACATAACCCAAGGTTTTTCTCAAAACAAAAACTGGTTAATTTTTACTTCTGGGAGTTTAAGCAGGAGGAGCCGTTTCCAACATCAGGGCCCTGGCACTGGTGCTTAATTCTCTACCCCGCCAAAATGAAACAAAACCAGAAGTGTTCAGCCAGGGACGTCCTGTTTACTTTTTCCACACAATGGCTGAAAACGGTCATTTCAGGGCTCTGCAGGGCCTGCAGATGAGGCTGGGGTGTTTTTTCCCCTAAGCCCTCCCACCCTGCTCTGCAATCATAATGGCGATCCCTTGGACTGAGGGAAAGGATGGACATTACGATGCTTTGGCAACAGAAAACTGCCATAACAGAGACGGAATGCTGGGAAGAGGCAGAGGAGAACCTATCCCCCTGCCCGGATCTTATGACTGGATCCAAATGAGCTTAGGGATCAGCATCCCATCTGAGGTTACTTTGAGCCTCTCTCTCCATCTCTACTCACTGACCCTGCATATCCAGGGCTTGTGCAGGGGATGCTCCCTTGTGTACACTGCCTGATGGCGGCGGTCTTAAATGCATGCCTTGGAAAGGGTATGTTCTGGAAGATAAAATGCCTTTGGGAAAGGAAGAGTACCACCGACCGTCACTTACATGTTCTTGGGTCATTTTGACAGTTAAGGACTCCAGATCTTCTGTCTTCTTCCTCCCAGCGTCACTCTCCTCTACAATCAGCTTGTGAATACAATCCTCAGCGGGTCTCTCTTCTTGCCCTCGGTCACCCCTCCACTAGAAGCAAACGAGAAGGCAGGCCCTTTTACATGGAGACAGAGTAAGGGGCTAAACAGGTGCTTGCAGCAGACATGGAAATAAGGCGTCTCTCCAAGTCTTCTCTCTTTCACCAAGAAAGCTCATTCCTATTTTGTTCTTCTGATTGAAGCCTTAGTTCCTCCTGCAATATTCCTGATGATTACTTAGCAAGCACTGATAAGCATCGGTGGTCTTTTCCTGAGCAGAAGAGGGAGAAAAGTGCTCTTCCGCGGGGTAATCTGTGTTAAGACAGCGAGACGGGTCTGCTCAATTTACTGGAAACTAGAGATGGGCACAAACTGCTGGTGCGGGCTGGTTCGTTTCTCAGCCAAAGAGATGCCCGGTGCTTCCTAGACTCACCTTCTCTGGTGGACAGCCAATCAAGAGGCAGCACCCAGAGGAGGCAGGGCAGGCAAGCCAAGGTGCCACCACTGAGTGGGTGCCCGCTGGAGGAGGCGGGGCCAGGAAATGCCAAACCCCTATTTAGCTAAACAACGAACCAGCAGTTCGTGCCCATCTCTACACACAAGACCTTAGTTTTGCCAGAGACAGACCTTTCCCTGCATCTTCACATGGAAAACCCCAATTTGAAAGGCAAGAATAAAGACTGAACTGTCGTGGATATAAACCAGGACTACCTTCCAGAGAAGCGTCTATACTCTGTAAGTTGTTCAGCGCCTTCCTCATCCAGCCAAGGGCCCTCAATCTCCTTGCAAAAAGATACAAGAATACACCTCTCAGAATGAACCCTCCAACTAACTGCAATGTGGTGGAGATTTTTGTGGGAATTATCTTCTTCAATATAACATTAAAAGACAACTTTGTTTCTGAAACATTATTTTTAAACTCCTTTTCTGGAGAAGACACCTTACGGCAGTTCACACAGTAAAGAAACAAAGCCATGAGCTATTTATAAAAATTAAATAAAATAGCAAAAGAAAGCATGAAAAGCCTGACCCCCCCAAAACAACTCAACCAAAAAAATGCACCCTAAAATGCCTACAGGCAAACTCTTCATCTGCCTACTGCCAGACAGAGGGACCTCTCTGGGGAAAGCATTTCAGAGTGTGTGGGTCACCACCGAAAAAGCCCTGTTAAACTCATTCTTCTATCTAATAATAGTTTTACAAAAATGGTTTTGCACTGATTAGTTGCCATTCCTTACACTTTATTAAGATGAGAAAGCAGTCTATTAAGAAAAATAGAAGTGACAGTCTTACCACAGTACGTGCCTGTAATTTTCAGAATTTTTAAAACTTTGCCCATCATCTGCAGCTTTTGCTTTTCTACTAGTAGCCGACCCTTGAAAGGTCAAGACTTGGCAATGCCTGCCAGCCGCCCAAATTCACCTCTCCCAGTAACCCAGTCTGCCTTCTCTAGTCCCAGAGGCAAGAACTGTCGCAAGCCAAGTGGTTTGGAACAGGTGCATACGCACGGCCATATTTTGTGGCATAAACTTTAAGTTTAAAGCAGAGAGAAGGGCCAGCAAGGCAAAGAGGAAGTAACTGGAAAAACAAATCTACAGGCAGGCTCTAGACATGGCACAGACAGGTGACCATGGAAAAAAACAAATCTTCTTGCCCACATAATTTCGGGGAAGAACATAACCACCCGTCCTATCAGGGAAGTTCCTGCAGCACCCACACAGACAAGACTGCAGCATTAAGAAGTGGCCATGTTTATCAGATCCAATTCCTTTTAAATAAATGGGCTCTTGGCGGATCAACTCTTGCCCGCTTTAAGAACAAAACTAAGAACTACAAGAAATCCATGATGCTGCCACTCTGGCATGTCACATGCATGACTCTCGTGAAGAAATTAAGGATCAGGAAAGTGTAATACGTTTTATGGTCTTTTCTGTCTGCCTGGAGGGGCGTAAGAGTATGAACTGTCATACTCTGAAGACAGCTGGTTTGTGTCTCTTTCCCCAATCACCTGTTCCTGCATCCGGCTCCGTGTTACCTCAAAGGAGACCTGAAATCAAGAAGACTTCAAGGAGGAGCCTAACAAATCAATTTGGTGGTATCTGGTGTAACAGTGAAGGTAACAGATTTCGAAGCTGGGAAGGAAGGATGTAGTAATGATCAGAGGATTAAGAGTAATTATGTAATGGTCAGCCCAAGGGTCAATGGAGCATTCCTAGGTATAAAGAGGAAATCGGAATTCAAACCCTTTGAGACTTAAGTGCATCTTAGGGAAGCAGTGTCATCCATGAGTAGAATTCTGCATGCCATGTAAGAACTGGTGCTTTGGGAACACAGGGAGTGTCCTCGGTGTCATTCCATCCCTTGCTTATTATTTTCTGGTGTTTACGTTTCGTACCCTGTAACCCTGTGCCCACCGCTGTTTTGCATTTGCAATTGTTTGCCTAGCTTTTAAATTCCTCTTTTATTTTCCCATTTCCCTTTTTCTTTTAAAATAAAATTTTCACATCCTTTTAAGTCAGTGTCTGGACAGTGATGGAAAGGGGAAGTGCAGTACTGATTTTCCAGTCCTTGCCTTGCTTAAGCTACTGAATGGGTAATACTGACGTCCGTGGGAGCTGGTGGCCGCCTATCATAGTTTTAAGCGGCAAGCCCTTGAGCTTGCATTGTCTCGCAGGCAGCAGGCATGCTGGGATGGGAAGGATCCTGGCTGGACCTCTTCACATGCTTGCCCTTCCTGCTCCCCCGGGGAATTTCCACTCGCAGCAAAGGGAGAGGCAGTGGCTACAGTAAAGAGGCTGGGCCCCAAGATGGTGACAACTCTCATCTCTTCTCTTTATTGGTCCACAGGTAGGAGGGCTACCCTTTACAGCCTAGCAATAATTAGGGTAACAATGGCATCATCATCTTCTACCAACCTAACCTTTTTTGCCTTCTCCTACCCATGGCCATCACAACAGTCCAAGTTGTGAGAAAGGGCAAACAGGTAAAGCGTTCCTTGTAACATGCAGGAATCCCCTTTCTGTCACTACGAAACCTCTGGTCAAAGGGCCGGACAGCATACCCACTTTACGTTCCCTCCCTGATAACTGACTGTAGAAGGGGGGGGGGATATGATACAAGACTGGAAGAACAGAAGAACCCTCATCACAAAGCCTCATCCTTAGAACTTCTCGTACACTGGTATAATACTGAGAGAGAAAAAGAGAGAGGGTGGGGAAGAGAGAAGGCAAAATGACTATGAGGAACAGACCTACCAAACACTCCCAGTTATTGTAAGCCAATATCACAAAATGAAGAACAGAAAAAAACATCCAGTGGTGCTATGCTGGCAGAATACGTACCCCAGATATAGGTAGTTTACTCTTAGCATTGCTTTCAACATCTAGAGCCATATGCCTAGTAGAAAACACCATTGCTCTTACTCAACATAGTGTATGGTAAAGCATACCTTCCGCAGCTGACTTTTATATTCCTCGTGAAGTTCTCCAGGTTTGCTTATTGTGATGGGTGCTCTGAATATGAAATCTGTAGGGAGAGAAGGGGGGGGGAAGTAGAACTTTTAACATGCACAGAAGGTACTACAGAAATACAGTTTCTTATTTATGTCATATTACGAACATATTATTTTCCCATACATGAAGTTTACTTAGACCAGGATCATGTATTTTTCTATGTATTTACAAACTGGTTGCTAAGGAGACAACCTCCAAACGAACACTCAGATAAAACGCAAGCCCATCCTGGCAAGGGGAGCTTTCACTTAGATGCACACATTCGCAGAAGAGGGCACACTTAGTATACATACAAGCTCCAAAGATATCCTGCTCTTACCAAGTCAGCTGCCTCACCATCTCTTGCATGGCCTGAAACAGAAAGCCTGACAGCAGAGGTCACACCCACTTGTGCTCAACACATGCCCGGGCAAGTCATTTTTTGCAAACCAAGGGATTCTCCCAGGGAATTCAAGACAACGCCGTCTGAACTGATCTCATCCCGGGTGCAGAGAAAACAACTGACAAAAAGGAATGGTGTGTTCGAACTGTTGTCGCGGATGATATGCAATCACAAATTCCATTGGTCCCCTCAGACCCCGATCCCTCTGTGGGCCATATTCTTTCACTCTACAGAGCAGAAAGTATATTCTCCACTGTCTTGCTGGAATCCGATTGCTCTTCTCTGCTTGCCTAATGCCCTCTTGCATCTGTGGTTTCTGAAATACACAGTCTGTGCAGTCATAGGCCCCCTTGTTCCCAGTGGAGTGATCTTGCACACCCATAATGGCAAGAGAACGGCAGAGTGCTTTGCCCACCAAGTGGTTCCACTCCACCATTACGAGAGTGCATTGTCCTGCATTAATCTGCTTATCTATGGCTGACTGTATAACTAAGATCATGGCCACTGGTCCCATCACCTCCTGGCAAATAGAAGGGGAAGATATGGAGGAAGTGACAGATTTTACTTTCTTGGGCTGCATGATCACTGCAGATGGCGACAGCAGCCATGAAATTAAAAGACGCCTGCTTCTTGGGAGGAAAGTGATGACAAACCTCGACAGCATCTTGAAAAGCAGAGACATCACCTTGCTGACAAAGGTCTGCATGGGCTCCATGAGAGAGGACGCCCAATACAAGCCAGCCATTTTTAAGGTGCTCGAAGATTCGCATGACTTTCACAGTAACAGACTAATAAAACAAGCCCCCCTTGGGAAATCTCCATTATGTTAGGAAACCCATAACACGACAGATGGCTTAAACACCCACAGTTCCTCAGAATCCTTTCACACGTAGAATCTGCTCGCTGACTATAAGCTCATACAAAGTCGTCACCCTTGAAACATCTGACTTTTTTTTAACTGTTAAATGTTCGAGTCATCTATGCCTGCTTCAATATTAAAACCTTTTTGTGCTCAACAGGGAGACGGGTTCGCTGAGTGTGCACAGAAATAGGGATCCACAGCCAAACACTGCTTCCTGGGCAATGCTTCTGTGTTTGTCGTGTTTCAGTGTGATGTAGTGGTGAGGGTGTGCCAGGACCTGGGCCCTTTTCCCTAGGAGGCTGAGCTGAGGCTGAAGACCAGGTTTGCCTGCATGGACTCTTATCTCTGACCCTAGTATGGTAAATAGGAAAGCCAATTAGCATTGCATACACCTGGGAGGCAGGAAAGTTTTAAGCGTCGGATCATACTTCCGCACTATTAGAGAGCAGGCCGGGTAGGTGAGGCTCGTCAGCCCTGGAAGGCAGCCCATCTAGGAGAAGGAAAACTCTGATTTCAAACCTCCACTGCCTTGTGGCTATATCCACTCGTGGAAAAGGCTTCAGGGGGTAACCTAGAGGCAAAATCCGGAGCCGGAGTCTTGAAAACAGTTCATGTCGTTCTGCCAACTCCTGCGACGTTGCTGGAACCAGTTGTATTGGCTTTTGCCTTTCCATTGGACCATTTCAGCAATGTGGGTTTTGCTTGGGTAACAGCCTATCCTCCATATTCCTTTACCCAGGCTTCATGCCCTGGAGAGGACACTTCTCAATACAGAGCATGTTACCATAGCCTCTCGAGACTGAAGGATGCCTATGATGAGTGGTTAGGGTCCTCAACCCTCCACTGGAGAGATCCAGGTTCTCCTTTCAACTGAATCATGAAACTCACAAGCTGACCTGGGCCACTCACTCGGATCCTGGCTTGACCAAGCACACCCTACAGCACTGTTAAAGGGAAGATAAATTAGAAGTATCTCATATGCCACCTTACGTTGACTCCAGAAATACACAGGTATGTAAATAAAGTGTTTTTTTAAAAAATAATAATAATCACCACCATCTTAGAACTGAAATGGGCCCTATGGATCAAAGAGGCACAGTGAGGGAATCAAACTCCCAACGTCCAACTCTGCAGGCAGAGACCCAAGCCACTGAGCTATCCAGCAGTTTAAGGGTCTTCTTCTCATGAGAAGAGAAGACTCCCTGGAAAAGACCCTGATGTTGGGAAAATGTGAAGGCAAGAGAAGGGGACGACAGAGGACGAGATGTTCGGACAGGGTCATCGAAGCTGCCAACATGAATTTGACCCAACTCTGGGAGGCAGTGGAAGATAGGAGGGCCTGGCGCGCTCTGGTCCATGGGGTCACGAATAAACAACAACAATAATGTTGTTCTACTTTAAATCTTGAATGCTAAGATTTTTTTTAATGTGTTGAATGACATTTTGATCCCAAAAAGATTTCCAGTGTATCAAGGATGAAGGTATAAGATACACTTTCGTGTCCAACGCAGTGTTTCTTGACCAACACACACCACATGGAAGAAATCTCAGTTCCTTTCAAATGTTAACAACCAGACAATCTCTCTTTAGCATCACATGCATTAAAATAGAAAACAGCAAAGGGGGACCTGTTTTATCCCAACCTGTCACACTGCTTGGAACAAATATATGCCCCAACTGCAAAAATAAAACACAAGACAAAATTCCACGGTAAGAGATCTGCTGAGAAAGGGTTTGGGCCAGAGATGTTTCATTTGTTAAAGATATACTTCCCTACATGGAAATTGGTTGAAATGGAGGGAATCACTGAAAAAAAGGTCTAAGGGACAATAATGCAGAACACCTATACTAGAGTGGTCGCAATTGACCAGATAGGTGGGGTATAAATGGAATAAATAAATAAATATACCGTTGATCCAGTTCCATATTGCCACAAAAGCAATAGCAAGCAGCAGCAAAGTGACTTTGGGGGGGGGCTTCACTCTAAAGTTTTGGGGGTACCTCTTGTTCCAATCATGAGTGATCTATGACTGTGGTGAATTAAAATGCCATGATCTCAAAAGGCTTTAAATGATTCTTTTTTTGGAAGAGGACTGGATATTTTTTTCAGTCCGTATGATGATGATGATGATTCAAAAACAACAGGCATGGTCAACATTATAAAAACATTGACTGGTATTATATAACAGATACAAGCTTTAACCAAAAACTAAGTTATCTGTTAAATATCAGCGCAGTAGGTATGCGGTTACGAATACGGCTGTTTTTAATAACTCTGAGGGTGTGATTTCTGAGTTCTATGGGGAGTTTTTCCAATTCTTGAACATAACACACCAGACATGGTAGTAATACATTAGTAGAAGGAAGAAAGAGCCGGATCCTTGGCATTGCAATTCCAGGGGATGCCAGAGTAGAAGATAAAGGATTGGAAAAATTAACAAAATACAGAGACCTGGCAACTGAAATATCTCGCTTGTGGATAAGACACTCTTCCATGGTCCCCGTCATCATCAGGGCTTCGGCAACAAGATCAAGAAACTTCACAAAGTGTTATAAGCAGTTGCCGATCTCAGAAATCACACAATCTGAGCTACAAAAAACAGCCATATTAGAAACTGCATACCAATACAGTGGTGCCTCGCTTAGCGATTGCTTCGTTTAACGATGTCATTGCTTAACGATTAGTTTTCCAGAGTGATCTTACACTCCGTTTAACAATGTTTCCTATGGGTGATTTTCGCATAGGGATGTTTGGGACTTTGCTTCGCATAGTGATGACAGTTTGGGTCCCCTGTTTCGCTTAACAATGGTTTTGACAGCCTCGTGTTGGCTGTCTTTTAAATGTTTAAAAATATTTTTAAAAGGTTTAGAATGCTGGAAATCATAAGTGCACTTAATAAACCCTTTGTTAAACTAATGTGAATTTGTTCTGACACTTTTTGAATTTGTTGTAATCCCCCCCATTGAAATGCATTGAATAGGTTTCAATGCATTTCCAATGGGGAACCGCGTTTCGCTTAGCAATTTTTCCTACGGCGATTTTCGCTTAAGGACGGCAATCCATTCCCATTGGAATGGATTATCCGGTTTTCAATGCATCTCTATGGGAAAACGTGTTTCGCTTACCGATGTTTTCCCATAGCAATTTTTTTTGCACCAATTAAAATCGTTATTGAGGCACCACTGTATTTAACAGATACTTAGGCTTTTGGTTAAAACTTGTATCTGTCCTATAATAACAGTCCATGTTTTTATAATGTTGATTGCCGGTGCCTGGTGTTTTTTTTAATCATCATCATCGTCGCAACAGCTAAAAACATGTTCATTTTTAGCAAAGGCAGCAACGGCAATCCTTCTGAGTGCTTTTGTATAGTAACCGGTCGACTGCAGAGGCCAATTCCTAAACATGCTTTGGCGGCAGACAAAGCTCCGGGAGAATCACGTTCTTGGAGGGAAGAACCGGATAAAACTTCCTAACTGTTCGAGCCATATGTACAACGACCGGACCCACGATCTCGGGGGAGGCGGCGAGTCCTCCGTCGCAGGAAACGCTCAAGAGGGAGCGAGGCAGTCCTCTGTCGGATCTGCTTTGATTCGGATCCCTCTGCCTGGAGCAGGGGGTTGGACTGGATGGCCTCCGAGGCCCCCTTCCGACACAGGGATTGCATGATGATGATGAAGGCATTATTTCCAGTGTTCACCCAGGGATTGCATGTTGATGATGATGAAGGCATTATTTCCAGTGTATACTTGGATCCAGCGCACTGGAAATAATGGCCGGGAACGCACCAGCCTTGGGGCCGGTCCACCTGCTTGCTTTGGGCGCTTCTTGGGCGAGAGACGAACCGGGCACGCCCATCATCCTAAGCAGAGCCTCCTCAAGAGGTGTGTGTGTGTGTGGGGATCCGACGACAGGCGAAGAGGCTTGTTGGTACAGCCGGGAGGCCTTGGGAATCGGGTCCCCTTGTCTTGGCCAACACTGGACAGGCTGTTCCGTCCACCTTCGCCCGGGAGCCGCAGAACACGCGTTCCCACGCGCTTGCCTGACCCGCAGGCCCACATCCCGACGACGACGACGACGACGCTGCGCCTTCCGAGTCGACCCCTTCACACGCGCGCCGAAACACGCGTCTGGAACCCAACCCCAAACGCCTGCCTGCCTTCCCCTTCTCTCCCACCCCACCGCCTGACCCTGCAGCCCCCCCTCACGCAAAGACGCGCGTCCCCGCATTCACACGACACGTGTCGTTATCGGCGGCGGCGCACCTCGCTCGGCGGGAACCGGGGCTGTCGTCGTCGCCGTCATGGTCGCCGTT